AGGTGTAGTTGGGTGGTATAGCAAATGCTTAGTTCATTGGTCCCCAACACTAGTTAGCAAAGGGACAGGAATGGTGGGGCCCCGTCAGGGGATAAGGAAGTTTGCTATGAATTTTTTGTTTTGTTTGGTTTGGTTTGGCTTGTTTTTAAGTTTTTTGTTTTTGTTTTTTTTTTAAGATTTATTTATTATGTGTACAACATTCTGCCTCCATGTATTCTTCCAGGCCAGAAGAGGGCACCAAATCTCATTATAGATGGTTGTAAGCCACTATGTGGTTGCTGGAAATTGAACTCAGCACTTCTGGAACAGCAGTCAGTGCTCTTAACATTTAAGCCATCTCTCAAGCCCTTGTTTTGTTTTGTTTTGTTTTGTTTGAGACAGGGTTTCTCTGTGTAGCTTTAGAACCTGTCCTGGCACTCACTCCGTAGATCAGACTGGCCTCAAACTCACAGAGATCCACCTGCCTCTGCCAGCTGAGTGCTGGAACTGAAAGTGTGCACCACCACCGCCCAGTTGCTATGATTGTTAATACTGCTGTCATTCCCTTTTAATTCTTTGTCAGCATCTTTTAGCAACATCCACTTGTTCCCAGGGTTGAGTGACTAACCTCACATACAGTTGTAATCCCTGCACTTGGGAGGGAGAGGCGTAAGGATCAGGAGTTCAGGGTCACTCTTGGCTATATTATATCAAGTTTGAGGCCAGTGTGGATTACATCAGACTCTGTTGGAAAACACATAGATAAAAAAAGAAAATAAAAATCATTATTTATAGAAAGTCCTGAGGAGATAAATTCAGAGAGATGTGATTGGGATAGGTGGGGGGGGGGGGTTCAGATGATGACGGAAGGGTAGTCTGAGGAGGCAAGATGTGAGCCATGACCTAATGCCCTAACAAAGTCAGTCACGGACAGACAGCTATGGGGGAGAAGCACTATGGATTGGAGTGCAAAGGTCCTAGGGCAGGAACCCTGGGTTAGGAACTGAAGCAGCTCCTGGTCCCATGTGCCATCCCTTCCCACTAATCTAGGCCCTCAGAGGGTTCCTTTGGTGTCCTGAAATTTTCTCAAGCTCAGTCTCCCACCTATCCAGGAAGGCAGTGGTTCATGGAGGCCCAAGGCCCCCACTTCTAGAAGCCCTGCAGCTAAGCCGGATCTGAGGCTCCTGATTCCTCTTTGTCTTCTCTTCTCCAGCTCAGGGCCCGAAAATCTCCTTGGCAACCCTTAGACGCAATTCTGACCCAAAGGAGGAAGACCTGGGAGGGGGAGCCCAAAACACAGTGAGGAGACCCTAGGAGCTGTTCCTTGTGTCCTGTGCACTTCCAGGAGCAGCAAGGTCCTGCACCCAAATCTCCCCAAAGACCCCAAAGGGGATCCGGAGGTCTATCCCTTGCTGGCCAGAGACCAAGTATGGTTTTTCTTTGGCAGCTGCTCCAAAGGCTACTTCTGCTGAGGACAACTGCCTTGACTGTGTCAGCCCTGGGGACAGGTGAGTAGGAAGGGCCTAGAAGGGGGTCCACCTGAAACCCTTGTTCCCAGGCTTTCCCCGGTCAGCACTCACTCTGGTAGGCAGTCTCTTGATAGAGGAGACTGTGTCTTGCTTAGTATCCCCAAGTCTCTTCCAACCCAATCTGGAACTTTTGTTGTTGTTGTTGTTTTGGTTTTTTGAGGCAGGGTTTCTCAGTAGCTACTCCTGCTCGATATCATCACAACCCAGGACAAACGGCTGAGATGCCTATTTAACACATCAAAGTGGACTTGTTTGCCAAGTTCCCCTTGCATCCCTCTGTCCCTAACTGCCATAGGGTCATCCTGGCTGGCATACCCAACTCTCTACCTTGAACGCTCCAGCCCAGGGGGCTGGGCTGCTCTTCCCTATATAATCCAATTATTTTGGTTACCCACTCTTTGTATTTCGGGCCTCCTGGATGCTACACCTGGCTCCCCTGTCCCTTTCCCTCCCTGCTCTCCTCACATGACCCAGCTCAGTCTGGTCATGTCCACTCTGGACTCTCCCAGATGTCCCTGTCTCTGGTTTGCTCTCCCACACATCTACGATAAACCTTCTCCTCCACCATACCTAGGGGCAGTCATGTCCTTTCCTTTCTTTTTTTCATTCAGTCCTTGTTGTTATTATTTGTTGCTGTTTATATATTGAGTAAGGTCTTGATATGCAATGTAGATAGTCTCAGACTTTGGGAGATCCTCTACCTCTGCCTCTTGAGTGTTGGAATTAAATGTGTGCACCACTATGTCTATTTTTTTTTTTTTTTTTTGGTTTTTACGAGACAGGGTTTCTCTGTATTGTTTTGGAGGCTGTCTGTCCAGCCTGGCCTCGAACTCACAGAGATCTGTCTATTTTTTTTTAATTGAGGAGGAAAACTATTTCCCAGAAACCCCCAGCAGATTGCTCTTTAAATTTCATAGGTCAGAACTAGGTCACATAACAATCCCAAAGGCCCAGGGATGCAATTAGGACCCGTTATGATAAAGCTTGAGGGGGACCTTTCATGGATTCCATGACAGACAAGGGTGACCAAGGCAAACACGCCAGGCAGACAGAGTTTAAGTGAGAAATTTTATTAGAAAGGGGAGGGGGGCCGGGCGGTGGTGGCGCACGCCTTTAATCCCAGCACTCCGGAGGCAGAGGCAGGCGGATCTCTGTGAGTTCAAGGCCAGCGTGGTCTACTGAGCGAGTTCCAGGACAGCCTCCAAAACAATACAGAGCAACCCTGTCTCGAAAAACCAAAAAAAAAAAAAAAAAAAAAAAAAAGGGGGGGAAGGAAAGAGAAAAGAGGTAAAGAGACACAGAGACAGAGAGAGGACAGAAGAGAAGAGGAAGACAGGAAAAGTCCTGTCTGCCCCAGGGGAACAGCAGTTAAGAGAGTGAAAGAGAGCCAGAGAGAGAGCTCGAAAAGAGTGGGGAGGGGGAAGAGAGTGTAAGTGGGCGGGGTCTTTCTTTTAAAGAGGTCCTTTGGATCTGCTTGTAGACTATGCAACCATGGAACCCTGGGCTGACCAGGGTACTGCCTGAGTTCATTCTGCCAGGTGACATGGGCAGGCCAGCATAATGCCTGAGTCCTTACAGGACCTCTTTAGCAAGGAGAAATAGAGAATGGGAGGTGAGTGGGCAGCACCCGAATGTCCAAATGTATCCACACCCTCCTCACAAAGGTAACAGAGGTGGCTGACACTTTAGTAACTCTCTGAATTCTGAGCAGTGTGGGAAAACATTATTCCCAGATGCCCAGGCATTTGTTGTTGTTGCAATCCCAACCTACAAAATACTTGAAAAAGTAACATTTGTTTTTTATCTTGACCACAAGACCTAATTTGACAGGGGCCGTTTGTTCTACCCCCGCCTACAGGAGCCGTTTGTTCTACCCCCGCCTACATCTGGCTTGTTTACTGTTTAAGGTTCATCCTAGAGTTAACACAATAGTTCTTAGGATAGTATCTGATCGGAAATATGCTGTATATACAGTATTTCCCCCCTTTTTTTCTTGAGATGGGTCTCTTGTATCTTAGTTGGACTTGAACTTTCTGTGTAGTTAAGGGTGACCTTAACTCCTAATCCTCCTTCCTCCACCCCCTAAGTGTTGGGATCAGAGGTGTGTACAACCTGACAATCGTATTCACATTTTCTCTCCGTTTGTGTCTTTTTGTCTCTCTATCTCTCGGCCTATCTCTGTCTCTGTCCCCCTCTCTCCCTCTCCCTTGCCCCCTTCTCTTGTCTTTTGAGGTAGTCTCACTACATAGTCCTGGTTGTTCTAGAATCTACTATGTAGACTTTGAGGGCTGACCTTGAACTCACAGAGATCCACCTGCCTCTGTCTCCTGGATGCCAAGACATGCATGGACAGGCCTAGTATTCTTTTTTTGAGACAAGTTCTGAATTTGTAACCCAGGCTAGCCTTAACCCACCATGCTTCTTCCTGTCCCCCAGAACACTGGGTTTACAGGCAAATGCCACCACCCTAGGGGCTGAAAGTTCAGAGCTTTCAAATAAGGAGTTGTGACTTTAAGTCATAACGTGTTCTCCAAAATTCATCCCTGCTTTGCCAATGAGACTCATAGAGGATGTGCGACTTGCTGGGATCAAGCAGCGAGGGCGGCCCGGGACGGCCGGGTAAGCCCCGCATGATCCCCACGCTCTCCCCTCAGCGGACCTGACAGACCTGTGCGGACAAACGTGGCAAGGGGACGCACTACAGCTGAGCTCGCACCCAACTTCGCGCAAGTTCTACTTCGTGACTCCGGACACCGACTGCATGCTGTGGCTGCGTGCCGCGGCTCCTGAAGACAGGATACGCTTCCAGTTCCGCTTCTTCCTGGTCTACAGCCTGTCCTCGGCCACCAGGACCACCACAGGCACCCGGGCCACCGCAGCCACCCTGACCCCCAATGCGTCCTCGCCCGATCAGTGCGCACCTGGCTCCTACCTGCAGTTCTACGACGGCCCGCAGGGGGCGCCCCGGGCTCTGGGACTACCGACCTGCGGCCTAACCATCCCTGCCCCTATCACGTCCTCCGGACCTTGGCTTGGCCTGCGCTTGGTCACCAGGGGCCGTCGTCCCCGTGTGGACTTCTTGGGCGAGGTGACCTCTTTCCGCCTGGGTGGGTTGGGGCTGATGGCCAGGATGAGGTGAGGAGAGACAGAGCAGAAGAGGAGAGGCTTAGATGACAGGAAGGGAGGAATGGGGTCCCAGCTGGGAAAGATTGGGTGACATGGACAGGGTTGGGGAACCAGTGCGGGAAGAATCAATGAGAGACCTACAAGTCTCACCTCCTTCTAGCCTTGACACACACACACACACTCTCTCTCTCTCTCTCTCTCTCTCTCTCTCTCTCTCTCTCTCTCTCTCTCTCTCTCTCTCTTTTTCAAGACTGTTTCTCTGTATTGTTTTGGAGGCTGACCTGGAACTCGCTCTGTAGACCAGGCTGGCCTCGAACTCACAGAGATCCACCTGCCTCTGCCTCCGGAGTGCTGGGGATTAAAGGTGTGCCTCACCACCGCCCGCCTGGCTGGTCTAGGATTCTTACTCCCAACTTTCCTTTTCCACCCCAGGGTCTTGCGGCACCTACTTCCGCTGTCGGAACAGCAGGTGTGTGCCTCGGAGCCTGCTGTGTGATGATTGGGACATGGACAACTGTGGTGACGGCAGTGACCAGGACTCCCAACCTCCCGCCAGCTGCAGAGGTCAGTGATGAGGGCTGCTTGGACCCACAATGAACAACAAAGTGGAGAGGCTGGTTGGTCCTAACACCCTTCTTCTGGGTGGCAGGGCCTGAGTTGGGAGGTGGCATGCAGCAGGAGGGCGTGTGGCCACAGCGGCAGTCAGTTTAGAGACCAAGGGTGTGAGAGCCAGAGCAATAGGGAAGGGTCTAGTCCAGCTTGTGGCCTGAGACCTCGTTTATTTCAGTTAATTATTGCCAGTCATCACAATGACCCCTGGGTTATAGCAGATGCTTGAGAAACAATAGTTAACTGGTTAGAACAGCAAACTTCCTGATACCTTGGTTTCCTCATCAGGAGGGGGCGGGGTCATCATGCCTCACCTTGCAGACAACCTGACTGCAAGTGCTGTCAGTTAAGTGTTCCACACAGAGCGTGACGCCTGCAAAAGCTGCTCACCCAGGCTGGTCTGCCCCATGGCCTGAGAAGCAGCAGCTCCACTTACAAGCTGCTGAGGAAGAGACCAGACCTCACTTTCAGCTGTGTGATCTTGGCCAGATGTGTTATCCACTCTTTGTGCCTGTTTCCCTTATACTTATAGTGGGGTTTGCAAACAAGTCTCCTAAGGAGCAGTGACACAGCAGTGCCCCGGGAAGGGGAAGGGGAGCTCTCGGTGGGTGTGCTGTTACTTTTCACAGGTCCCTCTCTGGTACCCAAGCAGACCCCGAGAATGGAAGGTGACAGTTCTAGGCTTCTGACTCTCCTCTCAGCTCTCGGCTCTGCAGCGGAGAGGACCTCTCCAGCAAGCCTGACACCTGTCACGCAAGAAGTGCTGGAAGGTAGATGGTACTTGGTGACAAAAACCTTTAACATTCTTCTACCAAAATCCCGCTTGGCTCAGTCAGGAAAACACTTGCTGCACAAGCATGAGTTTGGATCCCACCAGAGTATAAAGCCAGGCTCAGTGGGTGTATCTGCAGCCCCTGCACTGGGAAAGCCAGTATAGACCAACAGGCAAGTCTAGGGTTCAGCGGGAGAGACCTTGTCTCAGATAAGTAGGTGCCAAAGCAAAGGGCGAGGCAGGGAAGCCTGCTGTGTGAGAAATGTCTCAGACAGTGCACACTGCTTTGCAGAGAACTTGAGTTTGGTTCCCTGTTCACAGCTGGGCAGCTCACAACTGCCTGTAACTCCAGCTCCAGGGGGAACTGATGCCTTTGGCTTCCAGGACACCTGCACTCACATGCAAATGCCCACGCACATATACATAATTAAAAATAAATCTTAAAAAAAAAAGAGAGGCTTGCTGGGCATGGTGGTGCATGCCTTTAATCCCAGCACTTAGGAAGTATAGGGGGAGAGAACTCTGAGTTCGGGAGGCCAGCCTGGTCTACAGAGAGAGTTCCAGGACAGCCAGAGTTACATAGTGAGAGCCTGTCTGGGAAAAAAAAAAAGGAAAAAAAAAAAAAACAACAAAGACAAACAAACCAACTAGAGGCTTCCTAATATGTCAACCTTGAGCCTCCACACTCAACACACATGTACATCTAAACACATTTGAACATGTATACACACATAAGCACATACCACAGACACATGCCAAAACAGCAAAAAATAAGAAGGCTTCGTGGGTAAAGGTGATTGCTGAGTAAACCTGGCAGGCTGAGTTCCATTTCCAGAAATCGTGTTAAGGAGAAAGGATTGGACTGGGTCCATACAGTTGTCCCAGACATTCCACAAACTTGCTGTGGCACAATGCCCTCACCCCACCATGATATTACCCAGTGGTAGTACACACACACACACACACACACACACATGTCCCTCTAGGTGATGACAGAACATCAGGCTCAGGGGGAAGCTGACTGGACGACTCTCATTCCTCCCACAGGTGCCTGGATCTGGTGGGTGGCTCTGGCCTCCTCGATACTCTTGGCTTCCACTGGCCTCTGGTGGTGCTGCCGCAGCCCAGGCTGCCTGGTATGGCACCCAGGTGCCCATAGGCTCTGCCTCAGATGCTGCACAGCTTACAACATCTGCCACCTATGTCCTGGCCGGGTGGCTCCTGGGGATCTGTGGCTGTCCTGGCCAGCTTTCCGGAACCAGGGAGGCCATCCTTTAGGGGCTGCAATTATCAGCTGAGTAGGCTCTGGGGTCTGAAAGGTCTGAGCTTTAATCTCTGTTGAATGACTGACTTGGAACATGTCACTCAGTTCTTTGAGTCTCAGTCTGCCTCTCTGGGAAATGGGCCAAGTCTTGTTTCCCAAATGGGGTAAAGCCTGCAGAAAGCAGAATAACCAGGCACACTTTGCCCACAGTTATTCCTTATGGTCCAGCACAGTAGCCTTCAGGCTGGGCCTCTCTCTGAGCGAATTCACTCTAGAAAACAGCAGCTGGCTGCATCTGAAGTACAAACACTAAGCCAGACTGTCTCCAAACAGATACTGCAGCATGGACGGTGAGGCCCAGGCTGGGAAATAACAGACTAAATATCACCACCTATGACCATGTCAGGTTAAATCAGAACGTACTGACACAGGGGGTCCATCCAGGTCTGGGGATGTAGCCCCATACAATACTTGCGTAGTATGTACACAGCCCTGGGTTCCATCCCCACCAACACCTCATAAAACTGGGAATGGCAGAATGTACCAGTTGTCCCAGTATGCAGCAGGTAGAGGCAGGAACACTGGTGTTCAAGGTCATCCTTGGCTACATACCAAGTGCAAAGTCAGCGTGAGCTACATGAGACTCTAACAACAAATGCCCCAAACAACCATACAAACAGAAAATAACAAAAACAAACAACAAACAAATAAATATAAATAAGGGCATTGGAGAGATGATAGCTCAGTGGTTAAGAATACTTGTTTAGGTACTGGAGTGATGGTTTGTGGTTAAGAGCACTGACTGCTCTTTCAGAGGTCCTGAGTTCAGTTCCCAGCAACCACATGGTGGCTCACAACCATCTCTAGTGGAATCTGATGCCCTCTTCCCGCATAAATGCATACATAATATAAATAAAGCTCCAAAAAAAAAAAGAAAGAAAGAATACTTGTTGAGGATCTGCATTCTATTCCTGTCACCCACTTGGTAGCTCACAACCATCTGTAACCTCAGGCCCAGGGAATCTGACACCCTCTTTTGTCCTCTTTGGGACTGGTACCAGGCATTCATGGGGTATACATATAGAAATGCAGACAAAATAACTCATACAAATAAAATGAGTAAATCCCCCCAATCATTTATTTATTTATTGTTTTTTTTGAGACAGGGTTTCTCTGTGTAATAGCTCTAGCTGTCCTGGAACTCACTTTGTAGACCATGTTGGCCTTGAACTCACAGAGATCCTCCTGCCTCTGCCTCCAAAGAGCTGGGATAAAAAGCATACACCACTACCAACTGGCCTAAAAACTTTTTTTTATTAAAATGAGCCCATCAAAACTGTATCAGAAAAACCGAGTTAGGTGTCAGTGGATCACACCTGTATTCCCAGCACTTGAGATGTTGAGGTGAGAGGGTTGCCCTGACTTTACCAGCCTGGGCTACAGAGTAAGACCTCGTCCTAAAAATACAAAAACTGGGGCTAGAGCCTAGCATGGTGACATTCAGCACTCAGGAGGCAGAGGAAGGCAGATCTCTTTGAGTTTGAGGGCAGCTTGGATTACATATTGAGTCCCAGGACAGTCAGGGCTACACAAAGAAACCCTGTCTCAAAAAGAAAAACAAACAAACAAATGAACCCAAGAGAGATGGCTCAGGGGTTAAGAGCACTGGCTGCTTGCTCTTCCAGAGGACCCAGGTTTGATTCCCAGCACCCACATGGCAGTCCACAACTGTAATTCCAGTTCCAGGGCGTCCAGCACCCTCTTCTGGCTTCCTCAGATGTTAGACACACATGTGGTATACAGCAGACATATGCAAACAAAACTCCCATACACATAAATAAAATTTAGAAATACAAGAAAAGGAAGAAAAACCAAGCCTTTCAACATAACATACCAATGAATGATGGAACCTCTCACTCTGGGTCATATACATGGAAGGACACCTGATGTAGGGGTACGGTGGCCACCAGCAGCTGGTGGTGTCCTAGATGGAAGGCTGAAGCACTTGGTACAGTGTCCTGATGTGGGGGCTTTGGTGCAGCAGGAAGCAGGGTCCCCTGCTTGCCTTGTTTGAGCTGCTAACTGTTGGGACCCAGCTCTTTGGTAACTGGTGATGCTAACTGGGCTGTTAGACTAACTATAGCAGGGCCTGTCTGCATCCCTGCCATTGCCTTCCCTGGGGTCTCTTCAACCCTGTAGCTGTTTTGTATCACAACACACACACACATACACATAGACACATAAACAACACTGTGAGAAGTGTCCTGAGGTACCTGAGAAATAATATTAGTCATTAGAATTGGAGGGAAGCTGGGCGGTGGTGGCGCATGCCTTTAAACCCAGCACTCGGGAGGCAGAGGCAAGTGGATTTTTGTGAGTTCTAGACCAGCCTGGTCTACAAGAGCTAGTTCCAGGACCGCCTCCAATGCCACAGAGAAACCCTGTGTTGTCTGACATTGTCAAGGGCCATGTCTGTGAGTGAAGTTGTAGCCAATGAAACTGACATAGCTTATGAATTTATTGTCAATTCAATAAAACCTGGTTTGTGTAAAGACATAATCTGTCCATCTTCTCTGAAGCAGAGTGCTCATGACAGAGAGAACAGGTTCTGTGGGTAGGGGTGGGTACTGTGCTGGGAGGGTCCTGTGGGCAGGGGGTGGGAGAGGGGTGCCTAGGGCAGGAACTGGGGGTCTTTTTTGATCATGAAACTTGTTTGATGTTGCTTCTTCTACAGACCTCAGAAACCCTGTCCTGCCCCCTCCCCTGCAGTACTGAATGTCAAAGAAGACAAGAGTCCAGCACTAGAGGCAGAGGCAGTTAGATCTCTGTGAGTTCATGGCCAGCCTGGATTACAGGAGAGTTCCAGGGGCAGCCAGAGCTGTTACACAGAGAAACCCTTTCTGGAATATTCAAGAGAGAAAGAGAGAGAGAGAGAGAGAGAGAGAGAGAGAGAGAGAGAGGGGGAGGGAGGGAGGGAGGGAGGGAGGGGGAGAAGGACAGAGAGAGACAGGAGACCTCTTGGCGGGGATAGCACCATTTATTAAGAAAAAAGTCAGATGAAGACCACAGGGTCCCTCTAGGACCCGAGGCCAGGTATCCCAACAGCCTGCTTACCCCTCAGTTGGGCCTTCAGGCTTCCAAGTGGGCAGGGCATCACCCCTCTTCCCTTTCCCAATCTGAGGGCTCGGCTGCCCCCACTAAGGCACTGGTCTTCCTGATTCCTGCTCCCCCACGCCCTGGGCCTTCACCTCCAGAAGAGTGGGGGGTGTGGCCTGGTGTGGTGGGACTTCATTGCTGGGCTCTGCCTAGCAGGTCAGGGGAAGAGTTGGTCTCCCTTGCAGCTCCTGAGGGCAGGGCCCTGAGCTGTGTGTGGGTGGTGGGGGGATGCGGGTGGAAGTGAGCTGGGTGGGAGGGGATACTTTGGGGGGCATAGGGTTTCTGGGTAGGCGGGGGTGGAGGAAGCTGGGGTGCGGCCGGTGGGAAGTAAGCTACAGAGCTCAGGCCATTGCAACACCACCCCCCCTTTCAGTTTGACAGTGAGCTACCAGGCGGTAAACTGAGGTTGGCACTCACAGCAGTGAGGACTGTCCATGGACTGCTAAAACGAGCAGCCCGGCTTTACTTTGTAGTGGGGATGGAGTTGACGCAGTTCTGAACCCTACCAGTCATGGCCCCTGACTTCAAGTCCCAGTGGCCTTCTGGGGAAGACCTCTTCCAGTCCACCTGCCCCACCCACCAACCTTGGGGCTCTGCCCACTCGTGTGTGAGAGTTGGCGCACCCACCCTCCAGTCCAGCCCAGGGTGGTAGCAGCAAGCGTGGCATTGCCTCAGTCTCTTACAAAAAAAGTCATAATAATATTAATAATAATATACTCGACATTGTCAGGCTGGGTGCTGCCCAGGAGTCCGTGGGAGGCAGGCGGGTGCCTATGAGGGGCAGGGACGTGTGTTGGCCCCTGCCTGGGCACGATGCTGCAGGTCCAGGGGTTGTGGGGGTGGGGCTCCAGGCCGGGCTGAGTGCAGCACCAGATTCTTGATACAGCCTGTGATCCCAGAGGAGAACTTGCCCCTGGTTAGTGCGGCCACATCTGGGGCACCACCTGTGGAAAAGGAGTGTGACAGTGGGTCAGCGGTGGACCCAGAGAGGCGAGGAAGCCAGACTCTAGCATTGAAGGCTGCCACACCCCTACCCCCTCTCCCCCCCACCCCCGCCTGTCTGACACCCTGCTGGTCACTCACCAATATAGACGATATCCTTGGTATTGACTGCCACATTAGGACCTGGGGATCGGCCAATGACCAGCTCCTCGCCGTCTACTTGGATGGAGCCTCTCTGGCCCTTTCTGCAGTGTGACAGGTTCAGGTCCCTTGCCCTGAATTCCCATCCTCCCCAAATGTCCTCCCCTTGTCATTGAGACTCCCCATAGACAAACCTGGCTCCTGCTTGCTCTCTGGTCCCTCCTTTCCCACTGACCACACACAGCTACCTTCTGAAGCCCGTCCTCAGGCTGCCTCTCTTTAAAAAGCCAAGGCTGGGCTCAAACTCAGGGTCTTCTTGCTTCCACCTCCCAAGTGCTGGGATTACACATGTGCACCACTGCCCTGGACCCTATGGAGCTCTGAACGGCAGGAGCTCTGCTTGCCGGAAAGGCGCCCTTCCCACATCAGTTTCTCGTCCTCTCTAAGATGGCCAAGCTTCCTCTTCATTGCCATCCTCCCCGGGATGGGGTGGGGTGGGAGGCTCCTGGTCCCATGCCCACCTCTGGCCCCTTACCCTACCTAACTAGACTCCTTACCGCAGCGCTGTCACCCGATGCCACTCGCCATCATTAATGGGGTCCTCAGAGACAAGACGGGCCTCCCCACTGCCCAGCTGGTAGCTGTGGTATCAAAGATCCATGGAGATGTGAGTTTTGGGGTGGGACAGAAAGTGAAAGGTGCAGATGGTCCTGGGGTGTGTGGCTGGGGCACCTGGAGCTGTGGCTTCCCATGAGAGAAGCCAGGGATGGAAGAGGGGGATGAAGGGTTAGGATTCACCTGAAGACAAGATGGCCATCCTGTAGTCCAAGACTGATGAAGTCCTTGCTGCGGCTGGCCTCTCTCACCTGCCAAGGGAGCAGAGGGTGTCTAGGGTTCCACGCTGGAGAGCTGAGACCCTGAGGGCTGTAGCCTTTGTTTTCCTCTTTCTACACTTCCCCAGCCAGGAGGCCAGTTTCCAGCCCCAGGAATCCCAAGACCCCCCAATTGGATGTCCACTCACCACACCCTGCCAGAGCAGGAGACCATTGGCTGTGCTGGTTCGAACCTCAAATTCAATGGTCTCAGGTACTTCAGGAAGGCTGGGGGGTAGGAGAGGGAGGGGTGGGCAGAAAACAGAGGGTCAGGATAAGCCTGAGTCTCAGACTCCTGTCAACCCTGCTGCACTCATAAAGTCAATAACACCTGTCTTACCTCCTGGAGAAGATGTTGCCGGGGAGGCCTAGGAAGCCATTGTCGTGAAAGTAGGCTCCATATTGCCCAGGGGCATCTGTGGGAGAGTGGGAGACAGTGAGTATGCATCACTGTGCCCATCTGTCCTGGAATTCGCTCTGTAGACCAGGCTGGCCTCAAATTCACAGAGATCCACCTGCCTCTGCCTCCCAAGTGCTATATTTTGTGTGTGTGTGTGTGTGAGTGTGTGTGCACACACATGCATATCAGTGCTTGTGGAGGTTAGAAGATATGGTCAGATCCCTTAGATCTGGAGTCGCAGGCCACGGTGAGCTGCCTGAAGTGGGTGGTGGGAACTGAACTCAGGTCTTGGTAGGAGCCTCAATCACTCTTAACGGTTGAGCCACATCTCCAGGCACACACATTTTAACTTTTAAGTATGTGGAATTCCAGAGCATGAGTCGTGCACTGTTCCAAACTGGCACACAATAGATGCTTGCTGACTGAGGGAACTGACATCAGAGTGGGTCAAAGGCCGGCCCAAGGTCACCTTGCCAACAAGTTGTGTATGATTCTGTCCCTCTTTGTTCCTGCCTATCTGTGCCCAGTGAACTCCTCCTATGGGCTTGCTTTACTTGGGGACCCAAACTGAGGTATAAATAACTGGAGGAAAAGGGGCTGAGAGACCAAGAACAAGAAGACGAGGCCACCCGTCTGCCTGGCTGGCCACAGGGAGTACACACCATTGCCTCCACTGCCTTCAAGGTGCCAGTCAGATTCTACTACGCCATACCCTGCGCCTGTGGAGAAGGGTGGACTCTAGTTGGTGGACACAGATACCAGTAACTGTGTCTGGCCCTAGAGGAGGGTGGAGAACAACTGTACCTTGTTGGCAGCGGGGACCAGAGAAGCCAGGGAGACAGAGGCAATGGGCACCCCGGCAGGTGCCGCCATTCAGACAAGGCTCTTGGAGCTGGCAAGGGTTCTCTTCATGCTCACAAAGGTCTCCTGTGGGCCAAGGCAAAGGTGGGTGAGCAAGGGCTAGAGTTACCCTCTGAGCCTTGGACTGCTGGTCCCATGCCCTGCTGTGCCCTGGGCTGGCTCTGGTACCTTTAAAGCCATCTTGACAAAGGCATTGGAACTCATATTCGCCCGCAGGCATGCACGTGGCACCATTCCG